ATTTACTGTGTACACCCTGAAGTATAATAGCAAGGTAGAGAAAGTACCTGCTTCTTGTTTTATTAAACACTTTTTTAATGACATCTTGAAACTCCTGCTTTTACTTTTGGCACTGATTGATGCAAATAGTCATCCTCGTATGGAGGAAGTTTAAGCAACTTGAAATTTAGAAGTTACAAATGAGAACACAATTGAAAGAGCCATTTCTTAGTGGAAGAAGCAAGTGACCTGAAATTAGGACACACAACTATCAATATAGCTTTAATCTTAATCTTCTTTTAGGACTAATACTGTGTTGTGGAGTGGTGCAGAGGTGTTGGCTGAGTACTTACAAGCAGGCAGGGAATGGATCTGTTGCGTCTGATCCTAAATTCACCTATGCGTAAGCTGTATTTTGGAATGAGAAGCACTTAACTACAAATACATTATGTAACACATCCTGCAACTTCCAACAGCAAGGGGTATCACCTACTTGTACAAGAAGTTGCACGGAGCTATCTGTGGGCGCAGGGTCCCTTGGGTTTGGCTGTGGTCCGACCTGTACAGAGGATTCAGGTAATCGGCACGGTTTTTCCACAAGTGAGCCCACAGTGAATACGTTCGTTCTTGGACTCTGAAAAAATGCATATAAATAAAGTGTATAGATACCTCTGCTGCAGTTCAGGTATAGTTAGAGCTTGGATGAGACATTCTAGTGCTCTGTGCTGCTCATTTGCAATCAGCTTTATGCTTTCTTAATACAATTATACTTCAGTTACAAGAATTGGCAAAAAAGATGGACTGTGGCAGTGAGGCCGCTCTGCAGCTGAGCAGTGAGAGGATCCAAATGGCAACAGCAAACAATAATTATCACTTTCCTTTTATCACTACTGCTGCCATGATCAGGATGAGAGAGAAAAGCAGACGGTATGAGGACATAACCAAGGAGCCAGAGCCCTAGGAAGCAGATACAAGGAGCAGAGCAGGATCACCAGCTCTGCCAGGAATTATATTATTGTCCCTGCAGAACAACTCGGTTGCCTAAATCCTAGGAGAAGGTATTGGCAGTGAGCAGGCGGCAGGGCAGCCTGCTGGCTCAGCCCTGCAGAGGCTTCCCCTGCCTAAGGGCTGTTGGTGGAAAAGTATCTGAGAGGACAGGACTGAAGCGCTGCCTGGGAAGCACATATGGGGCACATGACCCTCAAGCTGAGAGAGTAACTAAGCTGATGTCACCCTCCCCTTTTTAGTTCCACGTTGACAGCTTGCCGTGTTTGTTGTTGATGCTAAGGCCACTTGGCTAAGGATCTAATGCTCCTGTCAGCGTTCAGTAATCCATCACTGACACACTATGGGTTATACTCACAGCTATGTCACAGCGAGGAGGATCAGCTTTATTTTTTGCATTAATTTGTGTCACCAGCGGAAGGTGCCTGAGAGCTCTACACTGCACCTCGTGTCTTACAAAAGCACATCTGTAAAATGGCAAGTGGCTGAATCCTCACTACAGTAACACCCACACTTAAACATGCTCTGCAAGAAAAGGCTCTCGTACTTAAGCTCTCGTCGCTCCTTCTGGCTGTTGCACAGGAAGTTACCAAACTGGCAGGAATAGATATGATGTTGTACATGGATCAGGAATCTTTCATTGAACTCAAAGGCACAAGGAAACTGCTCCATTAGCTGCCAAACACATTCGATGAACTGGTCAATCACAGGAGATATCTCCTTCGGATCGCCATCCAGGTTGCCGTACCTAAAACAAGACAAGACACATTCAACCATAACCCAAAATCCTCTAGGAAAGCTGCACAGTGGTAATGAAAAGGGGAAGAGAATTCAGCCTACAAGTTACACCTTAGGTATTAATTCTAAAATACCAATTACTGGCTTATTTTTACTTAGAAAAATTGATGGAGTTTTTTATTCATGGAGCAGCATGAAGCCAAAACCTAATAACAACAACAACAACAACAACAAAAGAGAACAAACAAACAAAAAACACTCTTCTTACAAACATCTTGTTGCTTTACAGCTAATAAATACTGGCCAATAACAAATACTGGCTGCTGCATAGCCATGAGTAATGCTATTTATACAAAGTTATGCTGCAGTAGCAGGAGTCATTGTAAGAATGCCTGTAATGGCTTTAGAGAAGTCATCTTAGATATTCTTTCAAAGTCAGACCATTGCTAAAAACCAGAAAACTAAGCAGGAGAGGAATGGAATAGCCTTGGCAGAAAACAGTTTAAAGCTGCCCTCTCTTGGTGAAACTTTTCAAAAGTGGGTAGTATTTACACCCTACTGTATTTGTCAAAGGAACATGAAACATTTTATGTATAAGGCAAAGTCTGCTGGAATCACTTGCCATAGGCTACTTCAAAGAACAGGAAATATAAAACACATTAAGTGAAAAATATTCTGTAAGTCTGTCTAATAATAGGAGGCATTTTCAACTGATTGCCTGTCCAGTACATATATATGTGTGTATATATATATATAAAATAAAATATGCATATATATTCAAAAAGAGTGGAAATCCATAAATAACTAAAATAGCAATTTCTAATTCTACTATTATTATGCAACAGAGTATATAAGAATATTGCAATGGAAATCACAGCTATCAATGGTGATTACATTTCATATTAGCTTTCACCACTGATAATCATAGATATCTGTCAGTATCATATTTAATATTGGAGTTTTGTTGGGTTTGATTTTTTTTTTGGTCAAAATATAAATCTATATTAAAATCCAGCAATATGAAGCTTCGGTATAAAATCTGCATCTTTAGTTTTACAATGATGTGAAGCAAGTGGAGACAATATGGATATATATCCATGCTTAGGTATAAAAATCTTGAAATACTTTCATTATGAAGACAGCATTTATTTTATAGATGCACAAAATAACTTGTCCAAAAAAAAAAAAAAACCTTTTGTTTCCCTTTACCTGAAGTTTCTGAACAAAAGCTATGTTTTTCTTTATAAAAGAACATCCTGGGACGAGTGTATTCTAGATAACTCACAGACACACCTAAGTTAAATACTGTCCTGGAAGATGGACCCATTTTTGAACTCCAGCTTTGAATTACAGCCCACGACAGTAGGAAGGCTGGGCATTACTGAAAAGGTGGTTGGATTGCAAAGAGATTTTGCAAGCCACATACCACTTTTCTCTCACATGCATCTCTAATGCTAATAGCAAATGTAAGCACTCTATATCCTCAGTGCAAATATCAGAAGTGGAAAGACTGATGGAACATACTTCATTTTGCCTTTTTTTTTTTCTAGGCAGCTAAATTATTCAGTGGGAGAAACGCCTGTGAAGATACCCTGAGAGCACCCTATTGATATGCTTTCAAAGGCAGCAGGTATAGTAAAATTAGAATGGCTGCAGACACTGACTACACAAAGAAAACATGTAGAAAAGCCTTAGCACAGCCTTACCTGTGGTTAAATTTGTGACCAAAGGAAACCCAATCTTTTTCAATTAGCACCTAAAATGAGAACATTGCATTCAGGGTTTTTGGAGCAGTTGTGAGCTGACACATGTTAGAGCAGGCAAAAGAAGGATGTAAGCAAGCCGTATTGGAACCCCACTTGATTTTTAGAATAAGAAAAGTGAGCGAAAGAATGAGATAAGCAGTAGTTGAAGCCCCATTAGAGTAAGTAGAAGATAATGAGCCCTGCTGCCAACTCCAGAGAAACTAGCATTTCTAGTTGCTGCAAACAGGATGTCAGTATTTCACTACAGTTTAAACAAGTTGGATTCATCATTTTCTAAATTGGACTCTAAAAATGTTCCAGACCTCTTTTTTAGATGTGAGCCTTGCCTAGATTTTCATCCCTAGATGCTTTACTGGAGCTGACCTGTTAGCAAAAGGATGCTGCAAACTGGGCTGCTCACTCCCATCTAACGTGGGGAGCACGCGCTTCTGACACTCCAATCTTTGCTGAGTGTAATTTGGATAGCTAAAAACCTTCACTTGTAGTTTTATATATATATATAAGGAAAGTTTATTTTCTCTTAGAAACGAAAATACTCATCTTAACATGCCTTTAAGTGATGCCATAAAGCTTTTATTTCCTCTGTAAAACAGCTGCTTACCATGAATCCCTTCATAGTTCTGTAATACGGGTCCAATAGAAGGCTCGCTACGGAGCAAACCTGGGCTGTCCTATCCCAGCCATCAGAGCAGTGAACAAGCACACTCACACCTTCCTCAGCCACAGCCTGGGAATACAGAAAGGCAGAGAGGGAACACAGGCAGGGGAAAGGCAAGGGAAGAGCAAAAAGCAAGAGCAACATGTAGAGTAATAAGTTGAGCTAAGAATTGTGAATTCCTCTTTTGTTTTTTAAATATTCTGCTGCAGACTTCCTGAATAACATTGAGCATTATTCATTCTCGTTTGCAAGGGTTACTCTCATGCATTCCTATGCAATGTGGTGGTGGCCACAGCACCCTTTTATGCTCCCAGACAGACTCACAGAACAGTTGGGGTTGGATGGCATCTCTGGAGATCATCTCATCTAACCCCTCTGCTCAAGCAGAGTCTTCCAGACCAGAATTATGCCTGCATGGAATAATTAAATATCCCTTTTGTTATGAATATAGCATATATTCATTGTTTTGTAGAACTTCTTCATAAAATCTCATTTGTAAAGTGTGATGGTCATACTCCCCTATTGCTTAGATGCACTAACAGTATAAACATATTGAAAAATATTAGGTGTTTAGCTCTTGTGGAACCTGGAGGCAAATACATCCTCAAAACATACTAATAGAATCATCAGGAAAATAGCTATAACAGTTATCATTTTAAGAAGCCTGTATGTGGTGATTGAGACCATGCAGCTCTGAGAGTCATTCAAGTCCATTTTGTACTACTGCCAGAATGAGCAGCTACATAAAGCAGACTCAGGTACACCTACGTGCTGCAACTCACACCCCAGCAACAGCCAGCACCACTGCATAGTGCTGTCAATTCCCCACGTTGATGGGGATGTGAGGAGCCTGTTCCTGGTGCCAGAGCTCTCTTGGATGTTGCTACGCTCTACTTCACCCCTGGCCTCTGAAGAAGATGTACCTCGAAAGACTGGAGGGGAAGCCTGTGCTCCATAACTAGTCAGCAAGATCTTTAAGTAAAACTTCAATGTAAACGACTACGTAGGGAGGATCCCATTTATATGCAGTCAAAGGAGGGATCGTACTTAACCAAGTTCTCCAACATCTGCATTACTTTTGGAACTTGAGTGTTTCAGGTTTTTTTTTTTTTCTTTCTTTAAACATAGTATTTTTGCCCTGTGTCATTTCCAAAGGAGAATTTAAAAAGTAGAGGAAAAAATAGGTTAGGAAAGACACTGCTTACAAAAATAAACACTTGGGTTAAGTTTGGGCTTAAAAAGGGACAGGGAGTAATAATAAGATATTTATGTTTATCTCAAGAGAGAAGTAAATTTTTACCAAAATAGAACCCTTGTGGGCAAAAGACCAATAGTTGAGAACTGGAAGTTGTACAAGTAAGAACAGGTCAAAATGAATGTCTGAGGAAGTATGCAGCATATGAACAAAAGGAATAGATGTTTTTGGACATTATTTTAAGACTAGTACTAGAGGAAAGTTGGCAAGAGCTTGGGCTGAATGATTTCTGCAAGATAATGAAATCTAAGAGGGACAGGAGAAATATAAGTGGTTACTTAGCCTGCAGTAGGTGCTCAGATAAGAAACTGCAGTTTCATGCTGAGCAGGAAGAAGCAAAGCAAGAAAGCAACACAACCCAGTTACCGAGAAGGGAAATTCATGAAGTATTATTCATATATTCATGTATAGCAGGTCATGTGAATAGAATTGCAATAATAATCTGAGTCACTGAACTTCCAGGTTAAAGGAAGGGGCTTCTAAAATTAAAATCACTGATAGCAGGTGATAAATATCTGCATTATTTTGGATGAGACTAGGAGAGAGAATTTCATATCAGAGCCAACAACTCTTTTCTGAAACATTTATCAAGTATGTAGGAGTACAAGCTACTCTTCATTTTGGAACTGGTTTAGGAAGTGAATTTAGCAGAGTGACAAAACAACCCAGGTGGTAACACCATAGCTAATATTCCGGTGTTACAACTATCACGTGAAGAAGTAATTCTAAAATAGTAACCTTCAGCAAAGGGAACGGCCAAGCAACCATGGATGTGAGGGAAACAGGGACAGAAACACTGATAATCACTGTGGGGGAGTAGAGCAGGAACATTCAAATATGAGACATAACAAGATGCACAATAGTAGCTTTAGTAAATTTAGGGTCTTCAATGCAAAAAAAAAAAAAAAGCTGCAATTTTAAAAACTTATTAGCAAAATGCCCACATGGCAACAGGTGATCCTCATATATAATGCACTACAAGACAGGATTTTTTTCTGATCTAACTTCATTCAAGATAACCAAAGTTTTCCACAAGGAGAGAACCACCTCTCCTTGGTCCTCACTTCCTGTGTCTGGTCCAAGTTTTGTTTTTCATTTTGTGTACTTTACCTTTGCAATAAAGATGCCAGCGTCCATAATGGCTTTGATGTGCTTCAGCCAGCCAGAATTCTCTAGGCCCCACAGAAAGTCACTCATAGAAGGCGACTTCAGCTCACAAACTGTAAAATAAGCTACATCTTAAAAGCACAGCAAAGCTTTCCCTGACTGTTATCTGTTCAGAGATCCTCTGTGACAAACACCCACCTTTGGAAAAGAATGGCTACTTGGCAGTAAAACACTGAAAGAAACACACATTTTAGAAACAAGGCTGGAAATTTCATACACAGACAGAAAACATGGTGATGTTATGGAAAAGTCATAATTCATCAAGGAAATAGTTTGAAATATGGTAGCCAGTAGCTAGAAAACTAAACCAAAAAAAATCCACTTTTTTTTTTACAACACCATATACCTATTTCTCTTTGAATACTCCAAAGTTTGTGACATTAACAGAAAAAGTAATCAAAATCGGACTGAGATGCACTCACTCAAGCAGCAAAGATAAATACCCAGTAATATTTGATGTTAACTATTGTCAAGAGTGACACACTAAATTCATTACAAAATAGATCATGCATTTCTTTTGATCTTTGTGGAATGACACTCTTAAAAATACTAATCTCATACTAAGTTCACTGAAGAAATAACTATGAAAATTTTAATCTTTTTTCCTGAACTAATGTATTACAATACTGATGTATTTCCCGAACTGATTTGTGAATTAATAATGTCTCAGTAGGACTCTTACCCTCTGGAAAAAGACTGAATTATATTTTTTTATCCATTTATCCATTATGACCAGTGGCAACACTTCCATTTCCCTCGATATGACAGCATGTACTGTTGCAAGCCCAATTCGGAGTTTATACTACAGCTGGATGTATCTAATGGTCTTGACTCCTCTTAATTCAGAGGCAAAACAGCCTGATGTGTCCATATAAAATCTTGCAGTCTTCATACATAGGGCCTCTTCCAGATATTTGCTTTTTGAAAGGTATTTTTAAAAATGCAGATAGCAGCAGTGGGAGCAAACAGCCTCTCACATGATTAATGTGCCTGGGCAGATGGCAGCATGGCCAATTAGTAGCTGGATTCCAGCTGAAGCTGCCGTCTCTGTTTACAAAAGTCCAAGGTAAAGTTGAAACAGTGCTTTGCTCATTCCCACTCCCAAATTAGAATCAATATTTACCCACCACTTCACTGAGCAAAGTCCAGGCTGTCCTAAATGAAAGGCACACACCAGACATTGCAAAGGATTTTTCCTACCCATCGGGACCTCAGTGCTGAGTTTAGTTCTGACTTCACCTGGGAAGGGAAAACCCCCTTCCATCTCAGCACGACAGGTACCAAAATCATGGAATAGCCCCGCTGGGCTCATCCCAACACAGCTGCTAGAAGAGCAGGGCCAGTCAGCACCTGCACTCGCCTCCGCACCGAGACAGTCCCTGTGCTACATTTCCTGCCGAGGACTCTGTGCACAAGATCCAAATTATTGCAAGTATCACCATATCCAAACTTTTTTTTAAATTCAAATTCAATATTCTTCTAAGAGCAATACGATGCAGCAGGGACATCTGTCAAACAGCTTCTTTTCCAAAGGAAATTCCAGCACTATGAAACATACTTTTGTTCCAGGGTAAAGTGAAATACCACCATTTTTTTTGGAGAACACAAATTCTGGAAAAAACACTATCCATCATCCTACAGATGTAGTCATTTCATAATGCTAATAGACAATAATTTTGTTATATTAAATGACAGTAAATACATAAGTGCTAATATAAGTAAAAGTCTCAAAATTAAAATTTTAAAATTTGAACCAGAAATCCTTTTAGCTAATAAATAAATTCTTGACATTATTATGAATATAATTTCATTTTTTCTTCCTGAATAATTTTCACTGAAATCAATGCATTCCTAATGAAAGTGGAAATGGAGAATTTTCCCATGGAAAACTGTATAATCATTTTTTGTTGAAATTTCCTTAGTACTGGACATTCTTTAGGCTTACATACTGAACACAAACTGCAGTTTTCCGTATGAAATAAATAAATAAATAAATATACATATATTTCTCTTGACCTATTCATCTGCCTAATTCAAAAAAATTGAACAAAATGACCTTTGTTATACTTCTGCTACAAGTCAAGCCTATTATGGCCTTAAATCTTTTCCATGCTATATGCTTCAGAGTGGCAACTACCACATTAAATTAAAATCACTTATAATCAGCCCCATTTATCTCTTTAAAGATTGTATGCTCTGTAACACCTCACAACATATTAAATCTACAAACATGTTTCGTAATGTTTGTAGTTTAATGTTCTCTGCTAAAGATTCATCTAGATATATTTAAATAGCCCTCAATGAAAACTTTACAGTGTATTAAATGTGTATGACTGGTGTCTTCTACAGATCTTTTGATTCTGGTACTCTTAGTGTGCACAGGTCAGACAATAAATAATTTTAAAGGTCACGAAGAAGCAGCTAAAGGGACACTAGTATTAATGGGAAAATAGAAAAACTGTGGTATCTTACACGAGGAAAAGCCTGCTCATAAACTGGAGTCCATAAGATGCAATCTGATGTTTGAAATCACAGACTTCATTTCTCTGATCCTAATCTTATCAGTCAGGTTTCTAAACAGGCGATTTCAACACAGTAAATATAAAACCTATGAAAAAAATGGGCCTATTCAGGTCTGTGGTTCACTTAAAAATAGATGCTAAAATGTTCTGTTTCCAAGCAGCACGAAGTGTTAACAGCATTAGAAATTTTCTTATTACATATCATTTTGGGTCAGGGGCCTATCTGATGAACTTTTGGCTCTAAAATAGTACACAGCACTGTCCCATGACACCAGGAGGGTTGTTGACTATCCTAACTTTGATGGACTCCAACTAAACAAATAACAGGACAGGTTTATTCACCTGTCTTCCCATCTGGCCAAACAAGATTTTGTAGTTAATTAAAAAATCTCTTACTTTTGCAGTCTGAGATCCCTTCCATCAAGGCGCTAAACAAGGATACGCCATGAAGAGAATGACACAGTAAAACTAAATTGCCTGAAGGATGTTGAGTTGATCTCAAGTGTTGGGTAGTGTTATGTGCACGTGTCTTTGTCATGAGCAGAGCCCTTCTGCACAAGTGTTTACTGACCCAGGGCCACAAAAGCCTCCCTGGACAACCTTGGAAATGTTGGTGGCCAAGGATGACAGGAGAAGGTATGTGCCTGTCTTCCCCTTGGTTATTCCCTCTGGAAGTTTCTTGGCAGAGAAGCTGGACCTCATGGAAAGGTCCAGCTTTCCATGGCAGCATTCCTCAAAGGCGTCCAGCCCTGGCAGCTCCTCTCCACGGGGCAGGAGGAGCCGTGGTTGACCCGTGTCACCGTAGCTAGATCACGCTGATCCGGCAGGTGAACGAGTTGGTTTTGTGTCTTCTGCTGATGATACACGTGGAGTAAACACTGGGACTGTGGGGAGCAGAGGGAGCACTTTTTACTATTTGCTTGTTAAAAAATCAACAAATTTGGGGTCAATGATTTATTCTTACCCCTTTCCCAGAAAACCTCTAGACGGTAATGTAATCCAAATATTAAGTGGCAGTCCAGATGTGCTAGCTTATAGACTGCTCAATATTTATAAAATAATCACTCCTTCTGTCCAGGAACTATGAATGGTTACACCCACTGACTGCAAGTTTTGTGAATGCACTTGATGTCACATGCTCTATACAGAGCATATTAAAATAGTCTAAAATGCATGAGTTAGTTATTTACTGACCAAAGAAGAAAAATCAGTGTTTTCAGAGTTTTAAAAAAAAATCCCGTATTTTTTACTACTATAAAAGTAACATATAAGTCATAAGTTTTTTTGTTGTTTTTGTTTGTTTTTCATGATACCATCAAGCTGTAAGCCACAAAAGAAGAAGGGGGAGAAAAGAAGTAGTGGTAAGGCATAGAGAGGTCTTAATATGCCTGCCATTACAGTAAATGGTATCCGGATTTCACTCGTAAGACAGTGTTTGTGCAATCAGGAGAACATCACGTCTCGCAGTGATGGTCCATTGCACAAGTTCCATTAGCAGCAGGGAGACACAAGTTCTGCTTTCATACCAATTCTCACTACCACTGTTTGCAGAGAAGTTACTCTGATTTGTGTGACACGTGAATCAAGTCTTTTCTCTATTTTCTGGTAAAGAGTATTACCTTCAAGCATTTTTTGCAGACTGCTTCTCATGACGTGGATGTTCTCAATGCCTATGAACTGAAACTTGATGTTAGAATAGTTGTCTTCATTTTCATATCCCTTTCCTGCTGCTCTGTTTGCCATCGCATTGAGCTGAAAAATCAGAAAAGCGAGGTGAAAAATGACAGCAAACAGATTCACATCAAAATAAAGCTCATGGTCTGCAGCAGTAAAGCAAAGTGACTAAAATCAAGCATAAATAGGAAGTGTTTATCAGAGTGTCAACAAATCGAGCAGGAATCAGGGCTCTGTTTGCAGCACGTTGCAGTACAGCGGGTTGCTCAGGCTCTGGTCTCAGTGTCACCAGCTTTGAGAACAAACTTCCCCAGTGAAGATGGACGCTGCACGGTTTAAACAGGACTCTTCCCCAGGCTCTGCTGCAAGAACATGAAGGCTATTTGTTATTAATCTCATTTTATTTTCCATCAGCGTTGCCTTTACTAACCAACACATCCAGAAGATGGCAGTGTCCTATCTGCCATGTCACTGGTTTTGTAGCGTATTCACATTGTTCATCCTTCCCCAAATCATGTGTCTGACTGTTAAAACCATCACCAGGTTGATCGGGAACACTTCTTTGAAGCGTGGAGTAGCGTCACGGCGGTTTCTCCCTAGCTCGGCAGCAGCTCAGCTCCGCTTGCATAAGACCACGAAAGATCTGAGTTGACAAAATGACCACAAATATTTTCATCTGTAGCGCAGCCCTAGGAAATACATCGCTGTGCTTCAGCAGAAAAACACACTGAGCTGGAACTGGGATTTTGCCTTTCAGTCTCCTACACGCTTCCCATGCTGGAAAAGTGCCTAACTGCTTCCTCACCTCACTTCTCCTGAGTGTAAAGTTAAGGGATTTTTATGTTTCTTTCCTCCTTGAGGAAAAGCAAATGAACTGCCAAACATGCTGTGCCAGGTTCTGGTCTCCAGACTAAAAGCTGAAGCTGATATAAATCCAATAAGTACTTCTCTTTCTTTATTATCCTGTATCTTTTTTCCTTTTTTTTTCCTAAAGCAGAATCTCACTGTCCAGCAGAATTGTCTTTTTGAATAAAGTTGCGGCTTGCATGTGAAACACACACTTCAAAATAAATATCACGGCTCCAGATGTAGTAAAAAAAAGTCTACTTTACAGAACTTCTGTGCCTCCAGGCACAGGAAACAGCATCTGCTCAGGAAAGATCTAAGATTAAAATAACAATGAATATTGCACATCAGGACTGAAGTGTACCAGTAGCTTTCGGTGAGACCCTCTGAGGGATCCATTGGACAAAAACTGCCTGGTCCTCACTGCAATTATAACCAACTTTCATGACAAATCAAAATGAGCTCCCTTTTATATTTTGTCTAGGAGATAAGAGACTAGGGAGAAAAAACTATTTCCAGTTTACTGCTGATTTGCTTCTTCATTGGGCATTTCTGAAATCCACAATAATATACTTCCATGCTCAAGTAATGGGGTCATGGTGCATACAGGCTTTTGCTATCTCCACCCCAAGGACACATAGTCTCATCATTAAATTTTTATTTGAAGTGTAGGATTTGAAGTGTAGATGCCAATACATCTTCAACTAAGATACTCAAGGAGTCTGGCTTTTTTATATCACTAGTCAAAATAGGTTGATGTGGATCAAGTTTGAGCTCTTCGCTTTTGAAAGGAAAAGTTGAAGAAATTGGACTTTTCACCATTTCCTTTTAGAGGCACAGGGAAGCAGATGGGATTGCTTTTTCATTCTTATTTTCTGCTCCATTTTGAAATGCAAAGATAGTCTTTTTTTTTTCATCTTCATAGTGTTATTTCTGAATCATCCATTGCTGTGAGTTCAATTTAGCAATAGAAATGCTTAGTTGCAACTGTGGACCATCGTTACTAGTTGCAGCATTGCATGAATTTCATGGTACAAGACAAGGCACTTCTTTCTTTATTATTATTACTTACTCAGAGCCCATGTAGAGCTGCTTTTAACTTGTAGCATGCAGTTAAGGAAAACGTGCAGACAGAAAATTTTCCAATCAACCAGCTGTCTGCTATCTTTGACGATTGATGAACAATAAAAGAAGTTATTGCCTGTGAACAGCATGTCCTTTAAGGATTCTCAGAAAGTCCTTAGTATGACTTGCTAGAAGAATATAAGTTATCTGTTGAATTCTGCTCTTTCTCTTTTGAAGTAGATGTCAGTGTTCTAATATAAACAAAATGAAGCAGTGTCTCTGTAATAATGTAGAGCTTTGGGGGAAAAAAAAATCTGTGTGCATATTTCTAAGTTACCACCAAATCCTGAAAGCCTAAATGAAAATAATCTAGCCTTAACTGACCTAACATCAATACTGTAATGCTACAAACTTCCTCCGTAATGCAAGAATTTTATCACAGAAATCCTTCTTTATTAAAAGTCAATCTGAAGTAGCTCCCTTTAAAAGCAAATACATAATACGCTAAATTTGCAAGGCTTTCTGACACTCATTTATTTTAAATATTGTCAATTGCCAAACTTTGCAGCTGCCACAATATTTACTAACAAGTTCTCCACATCACCTATCAAATTCCGTCTGTTGCTCCTAAAGTAGTTGCCCTAAATCTCCCAAAATTGTTCCTGTCTTAACTTAATCTTAGCAGAGATGAGAGTACAATCTCTAGGGGAACAAATCTCACTGGACCTTTCATGTGACCTTCTTTAGTGTGGAGGAGAACTTAGTAGTTTCTTTCTGTGGAGTTATAGAAATACTTTGTTTTAGTCATATGCAGCAAGTAAGTTTACATTAGCTTCCTCTGTAAACACACAGAGTAAGGAGAAAATGGAGAAAGACGGTGGCCAAAGTAACAGTTCTGCGTGTGCTCATCCTGGTATATTTGAATGAAGTGGAATCAAAGCTTAGCTCCTCAGCCAAGTCCTTTGCACTGAAGATTGTCAAGCACAAGATGGATGGAATACAAAAAGCATTTGGGGATGTAGAATTGCAGGTACTATCAATATTCGTAACTTTTGCAAGGAAGCAGTTTCTCATGAGAGAAGAGGCAGATGGGTTTTAACTTCCAAGAGCAACAGAAAACCTTGCACCAGCTCTATACCTTACCTTTAAGGCATCCTGAGGAATGCCAGGAGCAGCTTGCACCGAAAGATACCGGTTCCTACATGCTCTGGATTTGCACGTTCATTAGGAACTGCACAACAGCAGCGAGGCTGTATCTTGGCACCTAGAGTCATAGAAGCTTTAGCAAGTTGGTCCGTTCTCATAGTGCAGGCACAATTAAGTAGGAATCTGGGTATACAGACTTCTTCGCATCAAAACAGATTTGGGAAGTCTTCATTAGCTTCAAACCTCTTTGAGATCTTTATTGAGTCCCTTTATTTTTTTGAAGCTTTTATTTTGGCCAAAGACTTTAGTCAACTGTGGAGATACTGCCTCTGCACTCACTATTTACCATGTTTCAGAATCTGCCTCTAAATTACAAAAAATGCTAGAGAAATTCAAAGAAAAACCCTCCTGAATTTTGGCAACCAGAGTAAATGTATTTTCCTTAGCCTTACACTCACGTTGTTAAAATTTTCCCAGCTGCAGGAGAGATCTTGCTTGGAAGAGTACAAGAATGTAGAGGTTTGCAGCATTACAAACAACTGAAAATACAGTTGATAACAGGAATTTATTTTTCACTGGCCTTATGAGGAACATAGTTACCGTGGGCTCCTTTGTGTGTATGTGGAGATGAGCATTCTCTCACATAACCTAACAGTTACTACTGTCAGCTATTATTTATTTTTTGTATCAGCATCTGTTAAGAACAAAAGAGAAAGGCTCAATATAAAGGAAAAAACTATTTAAGAGATGAAACATGGGCAAGATTCCTAGTTAAGAGTTCTCTGATAAATCCACATTTATATGTAAATTTACCCACAAGCGACCAAGACCAGAATTATAATTGTCATTTGGGTTATGAATCTTCCCTGGTATATTCAGCCCACATTCAGTCTTGCTGAGTATGTGCAAGAAATTTAATGTACTCACTTTGGGCCGAGTGTCAACAACATATAAGAAATCACTTCCTGGATTTGCTTTCCTAATGGCCTGGAGCATCTGTTCATCTTCAAGGCATCGAGCACTGAAGCCAGATAAAGGTTGGCTGCTCCTACAGATGGAGGCCTGCAGGAGAAGAGACAAAAATCAACAAAATTACTAAGCAAAAATGACTTAGCATCCCACAGCGTTTAAATAAACAGCACATTAGCTCTTCACTGGAGGTACACAGTTACATAGGAAGAGCAAAGTGATAAAAACTCATCACATACTAAAAAACACTAATGGTTTTTGCAAAGGCAAGAAAACATTAAAACACTAAAACACCGATGACTCAGGCCTAGTATTGAATCCAGACTATAGAGCTATTTTAAAATATTGTGCTTCCCTAACATGAAATAACTCCTGGTTATTGGCAGTGAGAACAAAACCACCATCACAGGAGCAGCGGCGCAGCGAGAGCCCGGGGCCTGTCGCGCCGTGGCCGGCTGGGTGAACCGCGCGGGAGCACCGCTCCGTCCCTCGGGAAGCCTTGGCCAAGCCCCAGCACTACCAGGAAAGCCCTCGCCATGCGGCTGCCAGTCTGGGACTGAAACAGGAGGAGACATGGCACACACAGATCCGGAGACATGGCACACACAGATCCCTCGAGAGCGCCCACGGGGCAGCGCCGTAACGGGCAATGAGAGCCAGGCCCGCGAGGTCCAGGAGGCAAACGTGAAAGCACACGCAGCGCACAGGATCCCTCCTCAAGGATTCCTGAAGCATTCCTTCTGCTCTGCTGCCAGGAACAGGCGTGCAGATAGTCTGGGCGCAGATGCTGTGTTTAAATGAGTGCATTCGATACCCATTAATGAACTAACCGTAAGTCCAGTATGTGCCCACTGACCATATGTTCAAACCACACTAGCCACCTTTTAAGAAAATCTTAACTAAGCACTGATTTTTAGTAAAAACTTACTAGAAGAATTAGGAAACTTAGACCAAAATAAGCAAACACTCCAAAGCTACAAATTCACACTTACATTGTTATCCTTGTAATAGTAAGAAAGAGCTGGGAAACGTCTTCGGCTCCGAAATTTAGAGCTCCCCACTATGATGTGTGCAGTTGCAGATTTTGGTACATACACCTCCGTAGGATATGAGTCACAGACCTGCAAAAGGCAACTCTGCTCACCTGGGCTACAAAATGCAACTAATATTAGCCATCTTCTTTGCAAAACCAAAATACCCCCCAAAATTACAATCTCAGGAAATGTTCCATAATAATTGTATAAACCTCAGACTGTTTTTTATATCCATCTCCTGAAGTGGGCAGATATTCATTCTAACTTACATAATGACAAAATTGAAGCAAGGGCTATATTTCCACGTTACATAATGCCAAGTGCCTCATTGAGAACATGCACGTAGTAAACCAGAGCCAGGTTTATGTTGTAATACAGGGTCATATTTACGACAGCTGCTTCCTTAATAGCACAGGTTGGAAGTAAACATGCGAATGGGTGAGGTTCCCTGACATCCCTATTATAATAGGAGGACACTGTAGAGCCAGTGAATCTGGGGCAAATAATGGAAAAAATAGCAACTTTGTGAAGAAAAGAAATTTATCAATATGAAATGGAGATACTGACAGTAATGCCTACCAGTTCCCAAAGGAACCCAGTGAGGTAGATAAAACTGCCCAGAAGTTTTCCTGGAGACATGGGAACACAAGCGCGATCCCTATCAAATTTCTTTCTCCTGATCCTGGCAGGGGCATCCGGGCTGTGTCCAGCATCTCCCTGGCACTTCATCAGACAAATAAAGGAATTTGGAATCAGAGGGAGAAATTAGATTCTGAGAAAGCTCAAGATATGTACTGGAGGAAAGAAAAGACAGGCCTTGCTGTTAGAGATGCTGCTGTGGTAAACTTCATTCTATTCATGTGTCATTTTTCCCGCACTTCATCATAGCAGAGGTCAATCGTTTTCTTTCCGCTGGTTTTAACAAAATGAAAACAAACCCTGACAGCATATTCAATCTCCTCTGAGAACTTCCCCGGTGTTCCTTAGCACGGACACGTTCCAGCAGCAGGCCCAGGGAAGCACGTGGACAAGCTCCCTTCAGAAAATATTTTGGTTATTATTTCTCACAATTAATTATCCGTCTAGGGGCCGCAACCATGCAGAACTGATTTCTGCATGCACGGCGTATGCGTGTCCAGCACGGAGCACAAAGGCGTCCTCTGTCTAAGCACAAGGGCCGACCCCAGGCGCACTGGTTCACTTTACCCTCTCTGCAAGAGAAAAATCACAGCAACTCACTCCATAGTCTCTGTTTACATCGCTCATCTGCCAGTAACTGTTTGGGATACCCATCCGGTTATACTCTGCACTGAGCTCCACGAGCTTCCAGCCTCGCTCTCGTTCTTCTTTATCTAACTTTGGGTTGAAGGAGAAACAATACAGCTCTTCATATTTTACTGAAAGAAAACAAAACAAAACAGTAAGCTTGAAATTACAGCTCTTGTTGCTACTCAAAATCCTCGTATGTCACAAGGGCATGTTTGATCGTACTTGAAGCTCCTTATAACTTTCACACCAACAGATTTCTAACCTTATAAATGAGGTAATCTGGATTGTAAATCAAGTCCTCTCTCACTTCATAGTTCCCCACTGTTATAGGTGCTTCATAATGTATTTGAAATATTATTTAAATATTTAAGTTTATTTTCTAATATTATGTGCCTAATAAGCAGACTTTTAGAATTCTACAGTAAGCAACTTATACATATTAAAATCAATAACAGCTACAATAATAATAGTTAGGAAGAAGACTTCCATCTTGTTCTATAGGAAGCCTTCACTCTTATTTTGAATTATGTCTTTTTAAGGTGTGTTTAAAGTGTATTTTGCAGTTAAATGAATCATATATGCAATACGAAAAATAAAATATGAGTTTAAAGGAAGAAAACTCTCTGTTAAGTCTCCCAGCAAACTGCCAAAAGCCAGCAAAGTCATTACTGAATGGAAAGGAGTAAGAGAGGAACACATTTTACATGCTGTTTGGCAGCTCAAACTCCTTCTGTATTCTCTGCTTTCAAAATTCTCTCATAGTGCAGCTTAGGAAGAGTCTGGTTTATTTTTCATTAGTTAACATAAAGTCTGAACATAATCCATAAATCCAATCTGAGCGCATTTTAATGAGGTGCTTTTGGTAGCACTCAATTTTTTTATGTCTCACTGCCAAAACCATCTGGGTTTTCTCTGCAGCTGGGCACACACTCTGCAGTAGTGGGAAGCTCTCAAAAATGCACTTATTCCAAAATACCCCAGCTTAGTTCCAACTAAAGTCTTACTCAACATCACAGATACGGTATCTATACATTATGGTATCTATAGGTAGTAATAGAGTTGTTCAAGTACTAATAGTCAGTGCCTTAAAGCTCAGTTATCAGCTATTTTCTTGTACACTGCCATAATCTTTCACAGCTATTTTGCCATAAATACATGCAGTCCTGATGTTAGACCTGTAAAAAATGTTATGGTCAGCCTGTTTCCCAAAACAGCTTGCCTAAGCAAAAAGGCTAAATTCTGCTGCCAGCTTCACCCGTACCAAATGCTATTAACAGCTAGAAAGGACAGTACCACGTACAGATTTGCGCTCTCAGTGTAACTGGGTCACCACACAATGGTGGGTACATGGGATCACTGAGGTTCAGCCGAGCTGAAATGAATGAGAAGAGGCAGAGCATGGATAGCAGAGCCAGAATCAGTCAAAATTTCTCCTCAGGGAGGAGAAGACACCTTGTAAATCTCAGTAACTTTACTACAGCTTTACCCCTGTACCAAGGGATGCAGCAGAGTGCTGTCAGCACACATTTTGCTCAGCTTGCAGTCAGGACCTGCTTTCAGCTGTAGGCCAGCAAGATTTTATCATTCCTCAACAAACATTAGATATTTTGCTGGAAAAGGGACTGCACTGTGCACCTGAGCTATGATGCACCTGAGCTCAAGCAAACTGCAACTGCTGCTGCTTCTTCATTTCAGTGGTCTTGTACTTTGCTGTCTGCCACTGAGCTTTCATTCGTGGTCTATCACTGTTCCTCTCTGGCATTTTATATCAACATTTATATCAAAAGCCACTTTCAGGTGTACAGCCATATGCACACGTCTTCCTTGCTCCAAGGTAGAAGCATTAAAGAAATGCATTTTTTTCCAGCCTACATGAACAAGTTTGCAGCTGCAGCCAGGGAATTAATCCAGATTTACACTGCACAACCAAAGGCTAACTTGTCTCATTGTTTCTAAATTTCTCTGAATGCATCACCTAGCAAATCAAATTATGCCTGCTGCAGTGTACATATTACTGCTACTGCTATCCTAATTATAGAAGCACCTATATTATATCCTAAGTATTTTACAAAGCTCAGTAACTGTGCTGCCTGACTATGCAGCTTTCCCCCTCTACCAGCAGCTAAAATGGTGTTCTTGCAAGACGAAAATTAATGCCAGTGTGATTGAATTTATATAGACTGTGGTAAATGTGCTTCTTGCATACTGTTACAATAGTAGTAAAGGACAGAGCTTGCTGCTTTGTTGCTACACCAGGAATATGAACACATATGAACAGAGACCCTTCTGTATGTTCCTAAATTCATACTTACCCAAGACATCTGGTAAGCAGCAGCTATACATCAAATAGCATAATATGTTCAATGGTACATGCTCTGGAGTATGTTTTAAACAAAATTTCATGCTGTACTCAATGGAATGAGCTATTATAAGCTGTATAAATGTTACAACCTTTCTTCATTCTGTTTTGTTCATTGTGCCATAAAGAATTACTTTAATATTCCCTCCTGCTCAGAGACTTTTGTTCTGATAATACATCTCTATGTTTTCTTAAAATGTAAAGGATGAAGATGACCTTCCCGCAGCTGCATTTCTTTCACTATATTCTCTCTCTGCAGGATGCGGATTGACCCTGTGGCCTCCTCGCCGTACCTGGTCGTGCCAGACGTATCAGGGAGATGTAAACATCGTGGCAGTCTCGCTCCTGAGGGATGACCAGCTGGATGACCTGGAAGTTCTTGCAGCGGATCAGCAAGGGGCAGCCGGTGGCGGTCGTGGCCTGCTTCTCGATGGAGGAAATCTGGCTGTGAAGAACCTGAAAGGGAATGGAGAGGGGTTATGCCAAGTGATTCACCTCTTCAACAGTGAAAAATAATTATTTATAACGGTCTACCGGGGCTGACACAATAGCTTCACCTGCTGTTTCAGAAAATCCTCGCACAGCTCTTATAGGTCTGTTCCTGCCTCCAGTGTCAGGCTCAAGAGGTGCCTGATACAAAATCTACACACAAAGAAGCATTTCTGGAGCATTTCAGCTGATCAAATATTAGCCAAGTGACGTTATCCAGCTGTTTTTCTTTTTTTTTTCTTTTCTTTTTTTTTTTTTACTGTAAGCTTAAAATTGTCTGAGAAAGAGCTCTTTTCATCAGTCTCTACAGTGAAAAGATGAAACAGCATCAGTTACACAAAACTTGGCGAAGTCTCCAGGCTCCAATACTGTGCCTCTTCATTGGCGTAAAGTGGTACTGATAGAATTGTCAACATTGCTTCAAATGGGATGAAACATATAAAAATCAAGCAGGGAATAGTAGGACCAGGAGAAGACAGAAGTCAATAATTAGTGCAAAGCTGATAGAGGATTCATAACTAAGCTACATAAGGAGTCACAAGCAGGATTATTCTGGAGCTGTATCTGTACCTATATTTGCATACAACATCTGAGGTAGACATGCCCTGGGATAAGTCCACCAGAACAGGTAACTCTACTATGTGCACGTGAAAAAATCAGTGTAGCAGCACGGGTGGTGCTGCAAAGAGGCAGGAGCTGCCTAAGCGGGGAGCAGGTCACAGCTAGAGCCGCTCAGCGCTTCCCCTCGCTTCTCCCAGCGCTGTACTTGACAAGAGCAGCTCCTCAGCGACTCAGGGCTGGTTTCCTGGTGGTGACTGTCCTTGCAATCCTCTTACTGTGTTGCAGTGTCCAGAAACCAGTAAAGATTTTCAAAATTTATCAAGCTGCAAAGGCCTTCAGCTGAAATTTCAGATTTGCTGAAGCTATACAAGACTCTGTGTAATTTGTCATGTTTCAACTCTTTGCAAATTATTTTCAGATTACTCTGAATTAAGTTCCTTGCACTTACAGTTAGCTGAAAAAAAAATCTTACCCAGGTTTCTTTACGAGTTTCAGAAGCATTTTCCACAAATATGACATGAGTAGCTGTCAAATACAAGGTGCCCAGGGTGGCTTTTCTGGAGGATACACGATCAAGTAACCGAACATTTTCCACCTGAACAAAGAGATAACAGAGGAGGAAAAAAAAAAGAATTACCTGTGTCATAATCTAACACAGTGAGATCTCACCATCCACATTTTGTCCATCACAAAGTCAATCAGTTTATTAATGCTAAGATAAACACTTACCATCTAAGCAACACAAAAATATATGAGAGGTTAATCTGCTTTGATAAGCCACAGAACATAAGATAGAATCACAGGATAATTCAGATCGGAGGGGACTTTGGGGAAGTCTCTCATCCAACCTCCTGCTCGAGTGGAGCCAGCCGTGAGACTGGACCAGGTTGCTGGACTGTCCTCATGATGGAAAAGCTTTTCCTTATATCCAAGGATAAAAAAAAAACAGATCACAAGCTGGAATATTTCCAGAAAAACCACTGAATCCATTAGTGATATCTCTAATAGTTGTACTTGTGGTCTTGAGTCCCATAAAAATTTTTATACTGATTCTTAGAATGGGAAGAGCTGACTCAGATACGTGCTCTTCCCTTAAGCACGTTCCCACTGCTCTCAGAGGGAGGTTCACATGCACAGATATAAAGATGTAGATACCAAAATATATGCCTAATATATCCCAAAATATAATGCCATAAACGATGAGGCTCCAAACCAGATTCCTGGGGAAGGAAAACAAGGGAAAATAGAAAATAGAAATAGAAAGCTGAAGGTTTCTAGCGGGTTTGGTTTGTGCTATTAAAGTAGCAACCTAGTCAACCCCACTCCCAGACAATGACAGGGAATGCCCAAGTCATTGCTGGTTTATAGACAAAATGCAGAATGGCTTAAAAAAGAAACAAAAAAGAACAAAAGGGAGTATCTCAAAATTAATATTGCCAAGGCTCAAGCAAATAATGCTGGAAAGTTGTCTCGGTATTGAAAGAAAACAAACAAACAAGCCATCCCACACATAATAGTATTTAAAAGCACAGCTAAAGCCATCTGTCCCAGAAATGCTCCAAGATGAAAAACTATGAAAAGAAGATGCTCCTCATGTAAGTTCTCTTTTGTGCCATATGATATAAATATCACGTATTTATATATAAGAAAAAAATGTTAGATTGCGTGACCTATCTCCAGATATCCCTTCACTTTCCCTTCTTCCTCTGGGGCTACTTCTGCAGCCAAAAATCTGCAATAGGAAGCCCGCTCTAAAGGCCACTTCTCTGTGCTCAAGCACCTCCTTTGATCTCAGCAACCAAGACCCTGTGTAGGGGCCTGGCATCCAGCAAAATGCCAGCTCACATGGTTGCTTCTGGCCTGTCCAGAGCCATCAGCAATGCCAGCAATGCTGAATTAAAATGACAATAATAACAATGTAGGATGTCATAGTGGTAGAGCATATTGCTTCAGCATTTGTTCTTCACTCCCATTCATTAGGGCTGACAGCAGTGATGGCTCCAGAAATTTGTGACTTCTTCAACAGGAACCAAGGGCTAAGCAGAGTGAGGCTTCACCTTGTTGGACGTAAAATGGACACTGTCCCTTTGCTGCACTGTGGCAAACAGGTGAATCCATAACATTTCATAACCCTCAGATAGATGGCTGGTGGCTTGTGCACCATAAATATTTCGTGTACACAGCACTTGATCTGATGACACCTAGCATTTTTGACTGAGAGACTAGAAGGATTAAAAAAAACAACACAGTGCATATTAAATGGAGTAAAAAATGGCTAAACCAGTCAATAATTAGCCACTGAGGTTTCCTATTAGTCACCGGTGGGTTTCCTATTGCAACAATTTTAAAAATGAAACTAGCATTTTTTTTTTTTTCTAAAAACATGGCTGGTGCAAGCAAGTCAAATCAGGGAAGTTCATAGCCCCTGACACTGAATCACAGTGGACTATCCAAATGGCCTCTCTCTCCTGGTTTTGTAACGCTCCAGTCGTAGCAGAACGTGTGCTCTTCTTGTAGGCAGCAGCACAGACCCGGGCACTGTGCCCAGAGCTGCAACACACTGGTTCATCTTCCTTATACCCCCTTCTCACTCAAAACTCACTGGTCTTTTGGTATTTCCAGCCATATTCAGGACTTTAGCCTCATAACTGTCCAACAGATATGCTCCTGCTAGAAGCAAAGGGACCATGCTGGTGTTTGAAGTTCCTGGATTGACTTCAATGTTGCTCCAAAAATGCAAGGGGTAGAGAGGAGGGAAAAAAAGAAGACAAAGACCACATCATTTTTCCATTCAATTAAATACAAGTTCACACCAACTTCTTGGAAACCAGCGTTGAGGTCAACAAGCACAAATAAATAAAAGCAAAGGGATGGTCTGATTTTTAACAACACAGAAATTCCACATTAAATTGACAGGAACTTTCCTAAATGCTCTCAGAGGTGGGACGTAGCACTGGATATGTCCTCCCAAACCTCCACAGAAGCAATTCTCTGTAATTCTCTGAAAACACAGGTCAACCAGAAGGATGCCAGCATCTCAGATGTGGTGTTTACCATGTTTACCATGGGAATTCCCAAATGAGTGAACTACTTTAAAAAATAGGAACGGAGAAGTCCTTAAACCAAAGCAAGGCAGTTTGATAGCAGAATGCTTAAAATCAAACAGCTAGTAAAACCAAATCTTCTCCCTCAAGGCCAGTTATAATCTTTTTAAAACAAAAATAAAGCTGCAAGAAAGCATGAATAAAGGCTTTTCCCAGGACCATCTACTTCAGAGGTCACGTACTGGGATGAGGAGGAATGGAGGAAACACAGCATAAACCCAGAAAACACTCAGTAACGAGCAAAAGAGGAGGTACAAGACAAAGACTGAGACACTGCCCAACCTCTAAAAAGAACCCACAGACAAAACAATAAAAATGAGGTTTGCCTGTACAAAGCTGGTACCTCCAGTGCAGCCCAGCCAGCTCTGCTGTGCAGCTCTGCTCAGCGCTCCCGCGTGCCACCCAACAGGCTGGGGTCATTTATGGCACGAAACACAAGGAAAGCAGACATTTGTCCAGCACGACACAGCCTCAGGGCTGAATGTTCAGCCAGACCCCAGTGCTAACAAACAGGATTCTGGATTTTTTTTTAAAGTAAGAGTTAGTGTGAGTAAGGTTGCAATAAGAAGTAGGCAGTAAGTCCTGTTTCATTCGAAAGCACCTGCAGTAGCTGCGCAGGGTCAGTTCGGAGGGTCGTGCTGCTTGTTCCTCACCTTTCAGCTAGTCAGTAATGAGAGACCCTTCAGGCATTCCCTATCACACTGAAGTGTCTTCAAGACCCTGGATGTCTTTGGTAGAGATCATGCTCAGAAGAGTCTGGAAGACCAAACTAGCCTCTACTGGATCACCCTGGTCCATACATCCACTGAACGTATGCACAGTGGCTTCTTCAAAGAAATTTGACAAGTTCTGTGTTCCCCTACAGAATCGATGTCATTCTTCCCCTTTATGTGATACTTAAACCGTAAATCTGATGATATAGGAGGGAGGGAGGAAGGGAGAGAGGGATGGGGGAGGGTGTGTGCAGGGTGCTGCAGCTTCTCCAGTTTCCTCAGATCAGGTCTCATCCCAGTCACCTCCCTTTCTTTAGGACTGGGACACACCACAGCTACCCACGTGTCAGTTCTGTGCTTTAGTTCTTTAATCTACCTCTGGTCCTGGTAATTTGCTTTATTGTTCATTACCTAATGATGCACAGTTTCTTCTGAAACCTCTTCTGCTAGAACTTTCTTGGTGACCAATCTCCTGATAAGTTGCTTATAGAGAAATATGCCAGACTGAGAACCTCCCGAATTACCTTTCCTACTTTGATCATCTGCTGGTCCTATAGGTTTTCTGTCAGGATTCAACTTGTTTTCGAAAAAGGCATTGCTACAAGTTTTTAACTTTTTATGCTTTTATCAGGTTGTTCTTCCAAATCTCTTTTGGCTTGCCTTATTGTGTTTATATATTTAACTCACTTATGTTCATTTTTATTTTCGTCATTTAGACACAACTTCAACTTGAAGGAAGCCCTTTTATTTAGAATAAAAGAAGACTTTTTAATGAGAGACATCCTCTTACTCCTCCTCCCTGCTGTTTAGCTATGCAAACCTTTTTTTGGTCTTCCAAAGTCTTTTTCTGGAAGTTGGCTCATATTTAAACAATCTTCATGACTTCTGTAAACATTTTAATTTTGGGCTGCCCTTCTTTTTAAACAGTTTTCACATTTTTATGTAGTTCCCTCTTTGAAGTTAAATATTGCCATGGGAGACTTTTTTCCCCTTTTTTACTATTTCAGGAATACAGAATCATTACACAGAAGTTCTTTAATAGTTGTATTTTGAACCAGGTCTTTCCATCACTGCTTAAGACCCAGTCAAGAATTACTTTTGTTCTTGTAAAATAACCAAATAGCCTCCGCATAGACATTCATTTACATATGATACCTAACATTAAGCATCATATTCACTGGCACATTTACCCATTCTCCTTTAATTAAATTATATCCCCTGCTGCTATTGCATTTCCTGCCTTCATGCCCTGTTTGATCTTCTTCAGCTTTTCACATGGACCACCCCCACTTAAGAAGCATAGTTAGTACTAGAGCCCTGATACTGCATTTTTCCCACTACTATAGCCCTACAGTGCTTAAGTTTTAATTTTCCTCTTTAGAATTGTAATTTCAATCTGTAGGGAGGTCATGCTTTTGCAGCACAGTTAATCTATGAGATTTGACCCTATGTTTTCTTCAAGACAAAAAGCTGCTCTTCCACTGGCAAATCTGTTTCAAATCTTATTTGAAAACAGATTTACTAATAATTTGCCCCAGGAGCTACTCAGGAATGGCAGAAATCTAAACTCTAAGTGGATTCAAAACCACAGTGCTGGATTGCTGCTGTAAGGCTGTAATACGAGTGCAAACCACAGATCCACACCATCCTAATGTTTTTTTAACCTGATAAGAGGCTTTAGTCTAGAGCCCTCCCTTAAAACCAGTATTACATTTCTCAATAATATGCATAGACGTTTTTATAGGATGAACCTGTTGCTGAAATTTCCTACCAAATATAAGACAGAGCTTGCTCAGAGCATGGAAGTAGTTGTACAGTGTGGTTGTCTACCGAAACTCGTGAGTCTGAGAGGAGCCTCCTCTAATTCACGCAGCTGTTGGGAATCCAGACCTGCCCCGGCCATAAGGAGTGCTGCCCTTGGCCGTTCTCTGCTGAATTCTGATTTACAGTGACTTGGCTTCAGGAGCAATTGGCTTTCCACGCTCTCAGGAGCTGGTTCTGAACTCTCTCTGCACAACCTCAGGGTGACACACACGAGTTTCACCTGTGACCCACCTGGGTTTCTGCTGCCTAATTTCCAGGGCACCAAACCTTCTGGAAAAGTGGGGTGTTTCACCTAGGTACAGAAAAACAGCAAAATAAAGCTAGCTAGATTTCATTCTACTGGTTAAAGGAATCAGAGAAGGAGAGTTCTTTCTCCTTCCCCACCCTTCAGATAAAGCAAGCCAAGTCAAACAGTGTCCATAAGTGGTTTGGGAGGAAAGTACGGTAATTCCCACAAGAGGGGAACATGGGGTGCAATGGTGCTTTGGAATAAGCCAAGTTTGTCTATTTCAAAAACTTTGCCTGAAACAAGCAATTGCCGAGAGAGATCAGAGCAGGAAATAAATAAAGAATAAGAAGGAGCCAAACCAGCCTGTGAGGCTGAGAGTTGGACGTGCTCAAAGAGTCAAAAAGAAAGCACTAACCAAGCCCGTCTGGAGAGTGGCATCCAAGCAAAAGCTTTAATGGCTTATTTGAAGCTGTTGCCCCCACCATTTATTTTTGCCGGATGACCGTGGTTGTCTAGGCTTAAAGAAAAGTCTGCCAAGAGATTTATTTCAATGATTACAGCCTCTTACATGGGGATAAATAAAGCTGGCCAGGAACTCTATTTTCAATGCAACACAGATGAGGGGAAAAAAAAGTAGGCAAAAATAGAAGTTAAAGGGAACACAAATTAAGAACAGATGGAAGGCACTTTTTGCTCGGAGAATAAACATGACAAATGACTTATGAACAAGGTTGCCATGAGGTCATTCAAGAAAAAGATGTCATATTAGGGAAAAGCATGGGCCAAAGCTTTACTCAGGCACAACTCCCACCAGTTTCACTGGGGCTCCCACCTAGGAGCAAAGATATGACCTGAAAGTGTTGAGAAAGGCTGGCATGCCAAAATGTTCTTCCTAAAAATACCCCTGTACCCTCATACGTTTTAACTTTTGGTACAGATTGTTTTTTGAATAACCTCTGGCTGCATGGCATGTTTTTAAATGCTTCTTGAATGCGGGATGTGCACGTATTAGAGAAGTGAGGGCGAAGATTTACTCAAACATCTTTAAAAAATGCAGAAAGAACTACTTTTCATGCTGCTGGTGATTCCACATGGAAAAGCTCTTTCTGATAAATGCCAGATCAGCTTTGCTTGTGGATGTGGACTTGGGTGGGAAGAGGAGACATCTGCTGTATGGCAGATGGGTAAAAATGGGAAAAAACAGGCCTCAGAGAAACCTCAGTGGCAAACGTCTCCACGTCTCTGCTCCTGGAGGCCACAGCCATTGACATCAAGTGGTTTCTACCTCTGAATTTGCTCATAAAACAAAATTCTGGATTACATCACGTATCAGCACCAGTAGAAGTACCTTGGCTCGTGACTGTGCAGCGGGTGGACATTGCTGCAGTGGTGCTTGGAGGCTAAAAAGTGAGATAGCCCAAGCCAGGAGGGAGCTGACACGAGGATTTCAGCCGCCCTGCTCCTCGGCGTTCCTCTGAGAGGAGCATGGGCTGCCTCCCTAGTTTGCATGGGGCGTCCGTGTCCGAGAAGGGCCGGCTTTCCTTTGGGCTTTATCTTGCTTTGCACGTGAAGACCAGGACTAAGAGCGAGGAGAAGCAAGTCCTGGGAGCCGGCAGCGCGGCCGGAGCACTGCAAGAGCGCGGGAAGGGACGGAGCCTACGGAGGAAAAGCAGCGCAGCTGGTACGCGCCGCGGCCAAGGGGAAGAGCTGAGCAGGCTTCAGCCAGGGTGACCCGGCCATCCGCGCGCCGCGTAACTCCCGGCAGGGAAAAAAATGCAGCACGCGGACGAGCAAACGCCGTCATCGTCTCTTTCCTTAT